TCGGCGCGTCTCCCCTGCGAGCAGCCCTGTCTGCCCGTCGGGAGGGCATTTCCTGCGCCACGAGGTGCGTGGCTGGTGCCGGCTCCTCCCGCTTCAAGGTCTGCCTTTTGCCCAGTCATCTGTTCTGTGATACCCAGGAACTCCCATTTCATCCAGCATGGAGCTAGTTTCCCCTTACTCGTTTTTGCCTTGAAGAACATATCTCCTGGATTTTTCTTAAATTTTTAAATTTTATTTTTCAGTAAGTCTCTTATTCTTAACACTTTAAGAAACATTGTTTTCTGTCAGCTACTGGGACTTCTTTCCCCACAAGCCACTAAGCGGTTTTTAGATTGGTGTTTTCTTTCCCCTCCGTGGAAAAGCCAAAACACATCCCTTGATAGGAAAAGTGACTTCTCACTGGCTGACACCTCTCTAAGTCTTCGTTAAGTTATGGCAAGTGAAATTCATCTCTGCCTCGCCCAGCCTTTCCACAAAAGGGTTACAGTCCAACTATGAGCAAGTGTTGCTTTAGGACTCTAGGGGGGTGGAGGATGTTTGCATAGTTTAAACCTTTGGGTGGAGGTGGTAGGAAACTGCAAGTACAGAGGCCATAGAAAAAGGCGAGAAAGACTCTGACGTAGCACGGCCAGTCACCCTTACACACAGGTGACTCAAAGCATTAATGCAAGCATGCACTCAGACCTGCAGTCATTAGCATCACCCACTTGTTGATCACAGCACCAGGAAAAGGACTCTTAAGGTAGACTGTTCACACAGAGAGAGTACGCTGCGTTTCAGAACCTGTCTCTGATTTGTCCATACTAGCAGAGACGCACACTAAGCAGAAATGGAGAAGGTGACTGTGGACTTACCTTTGAATAAGCACCTCTTTTCTTAATGAAGAGAGGATAACATAGCTGGGAAGGGGAGAACTCGGCTTGAATTTGTATTTCAGTAATATCTGCTCTTTAAACAAAAAGAAAACCAAACTGATTCTTTTTCCTCTCTGGACTCTGCACGTGCCTGTCGCTTACTGGGCACGTGTATATTGATGAGCACTTGCTCTCTGTTCCAGATCTATTCCAGCGGGGAGCTTCACCACTTCATTGACGGATTTAACGAGGACAAGAGCAACTGGATGCGTTATGTAAACCCCGGCTACTCTGTTCAGGAACAGAACTTGGCTGCTTGTCAGAATGGAATGAACATCTACTTCTACACCATCAAGCCCATCCCTGCCAACCAAGAGCTGCTTGTGTGGTATTGCCGAGACTTCGCAGAGAGGCTGCACTATCCCTCCTCCAGGGAGCTGACGATGATGAACCTCAGTAAGTGGATTACAGTATGAACAAGGAATGCCAGTAATGTCTCTTCTGCCTGTACGATCTAATAATAAGTTGTATAATTACACAGCTGCATCATCCGTTGCATCACAGTAGGTAGCTCAAAGTGGAAAAGGGGAATTCAACCCAGCGAAACAGAACGAGTCCCCTGTGCCCCTTCAAATGTAAACAAATCATAAAAAATCTGAAGTGTTACTGGTTTACAATCCAAGTCTTATCTGATGAAATTCTGAACAGACAACCTGAATGTATCCTGTGCCTTCAAAACCATAGATGTTGTTTCATTCTCAGACTTCCCAAGTTTAGATCTCCTAGTGTGCTGAGCAAAAGTCTGCTTTGATAGCACGTACTGAAGGCTGTCCAGTCATGCTCCCAAAGGGCTGCCCTCACTGTACAAGGAAGTGGCCGTGTGCCATGACTCTGTCTAGGTGTCTGACAAAATGTGGGTTGGCTGCATAATGCCCTTTGAGCCTTGCGTCTACACTTAGTTATCTTATGGGAGCAAACCTCCTGTGGTCTTCTCATCTGGTTACTTTTTTTTAAGCTCAGTGTATTTTGTCCCCATTTCTTGGCCGTGTATCACAGCTTTCGTTTTCTGTTTAAATATAATAGCACTGGTAGCAGGGGGAAGAGGTATTTCCAGGAGTTTATCTCTGTGTTCCTCTGTGGTTTCTGACCATTTCCAGCCTCTGCACTTTACTCATAGTTTAATCACTGCCTAGCACCTCATTCGGAGCCCCTTGAAGAGAGCGAGGAATTCTTGCTGCCTTCTCATTCGACCCTTAGGCTGCCTCCCCTCTTGCTAGCTGCTCTGAGACAGACCAGAGCATTCTTTTGTCCTTCTGCCAGTGCCTGCACTGAAATTTGAAGGAAAAAATGCAGGCAGGTTTTTTAATTAAAAGGACTATTTGCTGTTATTTGGCAACGAGTAATGGGTTATAAAATAGCAGTGTTACTTGGGGAATTGTTAGAGCCAAAATGTAACCGTGCGTCATGAAAATGATGTCACGCATCCAGATTAATCAAAAGTACATTTATCCTCCATGGATGTTTCAC